CACATCTCTAACAACTTAATCTTTTAGATGAGGTGAATCAATATAATATTAAAGTAGACATTAGATTTTAAGAACAAGTCTTGCCCTCATCCCCTTACCCATTTATGAAAATTTTGCACATTCAAGCTCTTTAGAAAAGATAAATTTGGCCTGCACGTGAGAGGGGCTCCTTAAAATTTTAGATTATGTGGTTCAAAAAGAAGTAAATTTGTTGTTACTCAGCACTTATTTTACACAGAGTCTTCTGCCTACATTCAAGGACTAGGTAGGAGGATGATTGACAGTCGACACTCGCACAGGTATATGGAATTCAATTTCAACATTTTGCATCGCACAGGTATATGGAATTCAATTTCAACATTTTGCATCACTCATCCACTATAATCCATGTCACATTATGTTTGTCTATTGTTCAACTGCTCCATAATGAGTCTTGCTCCCAATATAAAAACTCTTTGCATATAAGAAACCATTTCAAAGAAAAAAATTAAGGAAAGAGGTTAAACTTAAGAATAGTTTGCCATGTCGGCTGATCTTTAGATTTGAGGTTATGGGAATGAAGAGAAAACAATAAAGGACAATGACTAAGGAGGTAAATTGAGGTTGGATTAGCTCAAGGGTCCATTATAGTCACTGTTCGTTATACGGATTCAATTTTTCTAGAAGGAAAGAAATAAAGTATTTTCATTAAAAATATCCTAGCTTTCCCTTAATATCTCCTTTAAAGAGGTTTTAGTTATTAAGTTCTATTATGACTATCATACCTTTTTTCTTGTTTTGTTTGCATGTAAATGTGTTTGGAACCTTCTTGATACGTTAAACGTTTATTTTAGTCTCCTGTTGTAAAATCCCCGATTCTTCAACAGTAATAGTAATGAAAGTTAATATCTCGATTCTGCAAACTCAAGTCAGAAACTGAAATTTTTTTACCTGTAACTTCTTGAGAGCGATCAGGGAATTCAGATAATTGGGCAGCTTTAGCTTCTTCTAGAAGTCTGATCATATTCTTGTTTCCGCACATTCTCCCTTCGTCTACTGGGGTGTTTCCCCATCTGAAAATCATAAATTACCCAAAAATGTTTAGCTGAAGCTGTATCTCAACAAGTTAAAATCAGATAAGCATAAATCCTTTTCCAGTGCTCAACAAACTTGCTAAAAAGTGTAAAACTAACGAAGATGGACAAATTTGAAACTTTATGAACAATATCTAAATTAGAACCCAACAACTCAACTCAAGCCTACTGAGAATATATGAAAAACCAGACATACTTCCTATGGTCAAACATTGAGCTTCATTTTGTTTTTTCCATCCCCTTTTTGTAGAAATTTATTAAAGGAAACATAGAATAGAACACTTTCTAGACTCAACAATCAAGTGAGTAGAATTAAGTATGAAGTAATGTTGAAGTTCGTTAAGAAAGGCTAATAAAATCATCGTAACTAATAAAATTTTCCCATCTAAAAAAAAAAGTCTACAGAAATAAATAGAAAAATGAGCAGGCATTGTCAAACTTTATGTTGTATATTATTTTCTATTTTCCATCAGAAACTAATGTTGAAATTCGCTTTCCCTAGAGAAGCAAATATAAATCAAGAATTACTGGATCAAAACAAGTAGGTCATTATCCAGGCATTTTTGTGGAAGTCTCTTGAGACAATCTGATTTTTTAACCCAATGCACGATAGTATGAGATCTATAGTTGTAAATACATTTAGAAATATAAAGAAAGAACTAAAGAATACAACATAAAAGCACCAATAAAAACTCAAATTCCACAAAAATGTATTCCATGAATCAAATTTGTATCGTGTATAAGCTTTGGATGCCAAATCTGTTCAGTAAAAGGATTTATTCCAAGAGCCATTTAGTTTCATACTAATGCAAAATGGCTTAAAGTAGAATTAAATCACAAATATTGTTGAACCACAGTAAACTTTTCTGACTGACAAGAAAAGGATATTGATTTTTCTTTTTCTGAGGGACTGTTCAAAAATTGGGAATTAAGGCAAACAAGTGTGCATTTTGAATGCTAGGAAAAAGGCGAATGAATTTAGAATAAAAGAAATGCATTTTACCCGTCCTTTGAGAAAACACTTGCCCCCTCTTCCAAAAGCAATTTTGCCATCAAATATAAGCCATGAGAGGCAGCTATGTGAAGTGGGGTTCGGTGATCATAGTCTTTGGAGTTTGGATCAATTCCATAGGATAAAACTCTTCTGAGAAAATCAGAATCTCCTCTCGCAACCAAGGTGCATAAGAAACTACCAGAATTATCAATCTTCAACAAGGCCCCCTCTCTAGAAAGCAAAGAAGCAACTCTGTCATGTCCACTCTTGATGGCTTCAAGTAAGGGCGTATTTCCAAAATTATCTGTCCAGAGAAACAGCTGCATTATTCCTTAATGTTACTAAAAGAAATTCTAAAACTCACATGTGAATGACAATTAACCAATTAAAAAAAATAACCTGCAGCATTGACATCTACAGCTTCTTGTATTAGAAAAAGAGTAACGTCTTCGAAACCTCGTGATGCAGCAAGATGCTGTTGAAAGACAAAGCACTGTTTAGGGATCCAGTAATCTTTTTGAAGATACAAGTGCATCATTTTATAACGAATTCGTGTTGTGTCATGAAATAACAGAGTTGTGAAGTATCAGAGGTCAAGAAACAGTGAAACGCGCTTGTTTGGAAATAGATTATAATCAGATTAAATTATAAATAGATTGAAATGAGTGGTGGATAAGTGGGTAATACTTGTGAGTCCTATAAAATGTGTGGATGAAGAGTAGGTTTGACTAAAAGTGTGCATAATTTAAACACCTTCCAAACAAGTGCTTAATTACAGTGTAGCGGCACATTGGAATTTACATAGATCTCTATGACTGCAAAAATAAGTAAAAAATAGGTTCTCAGATATTAAATTTTTCTAAATATCTTCTTTCAACCACTTTATGTAACAACTTCGCTAAATACTAAATTGTTCAACAAAATTTGTAAATAAATGATAAAAATTGAACGGGCAGAGATGATGCATATCCTTTTGGATGCAGTTTAGCTGTTTATTAACAAAATTTGCATGCGACAACATGGACACAATGCCAAGTTCAACATCTATGGAGACATGAAATCCCCTTTTCTCAATGCTTGCTTGTTGCTGTTTAGTTAAACATAAAAGGGTGCCCAGAATAGTATTTGAAACTTTAATAATTACGAGTTCTTATATTCAGAAAATTATTAAGTGACCACCTAGGTTTGAAATAACTTTGTAATCAACTTAAATATTTTTCTTAAAGATACTGTAAACATCAGAATAATGAAATGCAGAAAAGAAATTAGCCAGTTTAAGCTGCCATCAAAATAATAAACTAAAACCCTGAGAAATTTCGTGTGGGATATCCACAAAGGGCATCGACATGGTTGCAAGATTTTACAACATAGTTGGCCTGCAAAGTTCGACTGCAGAATACAAATTTGATTAGCTTAATTCATACCAAGAATACAAATTTGATTAGCTTAATTCATACCAAGGGTGATCTTCCATCATAATCTTTCTTGTTGGGATCAGCACCAGCCCGAATCAGACCTTTCAATTGATACAAATCGCCATGATAAGCTGCACTATTCACTCTCAAAGCAAGCTCAGCCTCTTTTTTTCCAATATGTAGTGTGATATCTGACTCTAGTTGCTTCACCCGAAGATTAGATTCTTTTCCCTATCATTAAATTTAGATTAGCAAAAAAGATTTTTCATTCAAAATCTCTTAGAAGAAATGAATGAAAACTACTCAAACGTGTTAAGAAGTAATTTCAGTTTAAGCTAATAAGAACAAGACTTTATATCACTGATATGAAAATGAAAATTATCTGAGTGCTAGGGGGAGAGGGCACTTATCAACAAATCAAATCAAATTACCTCCAATAAGTTAGTCAAGATGATTCGCCCATCATGAAAATATATGTCAAGTATATTGGAGAAAGACTGTCTATCAATCCGCAGGAGCCTACACAATTCACAAACACGGACTGTATATGGCTGAGGAATGTTGCAAACAATGGAAAGTTCTCCAAATAGACTATTAGGCTCCAGAAGTGATACTGTCACTTCTGATCCATCTGACCCAATGCCAACCTCCTCCTGCAAGGAGACAGCAGAAATGAATCGGGTAATTGTTGAAAAATCTTGATATTCATAATGGAGACTGAATCGTCTTCATTTAATAATCTTCTATTTATAGTAGAAAGTTATTTTTCTCAAGATCATGATCAATGGCCTACTTTGAAAATATAGGAGCTGGTGACGATTTTGAACAATGAGATACTTTTTTTTTCAATTTAATCAAAACAGATGATATTTCATAGAGTTAAAAAGAGTCCTGGTGAGCAAAATGGATACTACAAGATGCATGATATAACATCAAGAATAGAAATAAGACGCAGAAATCTGCAAGACTTACGTGCATAAAACTCTAATTTGTTTTTACGAGGCAGAGTTTCGTACCAGAACACCATGACAGACGAAATAGAGTTGATCCACAACATTTCCCTGTTCTATTATAACTTCTCCTGGGTAAAAAAATTCCTCATGTACCCTAGTTACCTGCAGGAAAAAGAATCAGCCTTGGGAATGAGGTTAAGCTAGCGTGAAGACAAAAAATTATTTAAGTCAAAATTAGTCGTTGATAAAGGTTAGACTTTAATATGAAAATTATGCCATGAACTTTGTAGAACCTAAGATGTTATCACGAACATATTCGTTTATTAAATATCTTAAATATCAAGTAATGGAAAATCATAGGGAAAAAATTCATTCAGACTTAAGAACATATCAAATGACAGAGAGTAAAATAACAATAAAATAACTAACAATTTGATTGATGAATTCCGAGCAGCATCCCTTGAATAGAGGAACATTTTCAACATAAGACTTGTATAAAGACTGAGATATCTGCAAGAAATAAATGATTTTGTCAATGGAAGAGTTAATTCCGGACCGAAATTATGTTAGGCTAAAGAGTCCATCAAAGGAAATAAGATAAAGACTCTTCATAAAAAATAAAGGAAACCAAGATATATGTCCCATTCTAATAATTGGCGCATTTGGTTTCAACCTTTGGTCTTGATCTTGGTCTTGCTCACAACTTCTCAGCATATGGACAGTGTGCAGAAGATATAAATTTTGCCTCTAGGTTCTTCCACAACCGAGATGTTGTCAGGCAGAATGCCATAACAAATGAAAGCTAGTGTTTTATTAATTTAATTTACAACAGCCGTATCTGTAGAATACTATTAATTTATTTTATACTAAAATATGCTACTATAACTTATCTGAAATGTATTATATAAATACAGCATTAGGCATAATCATATTGACCAATATATGAACGTGCATATAATAGTTTGCTGGGCTCTAAATAATTCTAACGAGACAGCTTAAATTAATGAGACGTGTTGATGAGCTTGGGGTATCAATAATTTGTATTGCACTCATCAGGAAAAGGAATGAAATAAAGGGTTGGAGATATATGAATAAGATAAATAAATTTTGAGATCCTCCACGGGGAGTAGAGGGTTGATATCAATCTTACAAAGTGGATTTTAAAGAACAATCGAGATGACTAGTTTATGTTCAGGTCACTCGGACACAAGAAAAATCCTAGAGATTATTGAATTCCCTTATCTTAAGATCCTTTTAGATGTCGAAAAGACAATCATATGGTAGATAATTTCTGCAACTGCTTACAATTGTGATCTTACATGCGTTACGTTAGTTGGCTGTAAATGATGTAGTTGTGATTTTTATTTAGTTACCTTGGCACGAATTGAGACAGGGATATCTTGGAGAACCGAAGCATCTGTGTAGCTGCTTTCATATTGTAGTCTCAAGTGACCTTTTATTTGATTACGGATGTCCCTTCCAAGTTTATTTCTGTTCATATATTTGATAAGATCTGTCATTTTATCCCTATATCTTTCTGTCTTTGATCCTTTGACAATCAGTGCTGTCATGTTACCAATCAAGTATGCCCCAAGAATCATGTCAAAAGAGACATAAATCATAATGAATATCATTTCTCTCAGATTGACCGCATGTATATCTCCATACCCTGTATCAGAAAGAGATACTCGGTTAGCTAATAGAACACCTGGTAAAGAAGATTTTGATATAAATACATGAGCTTATTGAGCCAGTTAGAGAAAAAGTAATAATATCAGCAAGGAGAAAGGACAACAACTGGACATTATTCATTTATGCTGGAAATAGTCCAGCCTTCATAAACTAAACATCAAATTTCAATAACTATTACAGAGTTACTTCATGTAGTTTAAATGGCATTACTCCCATTTACTAAGTCAGAATATCACACAATCTATTATTCTCAATCAACTTAATTAGGATGCCGTTAAAAGGAGGAGGATGCTTATCTTCAGTGTGGGCCTCAAAACAAATGACATCAGATTTTGCAACCAGATACCCGTAGACTCTTAAAGAGATAATAAAAACAGTGGTTTACAAAAGGGGTTTCAGGAAAAACAATGCTTGGATAAAATCCATCAGTCAGTCAGTCATACAAAGCACAATTCAAGCAAAAACTAAGATCGCCCCTCACATAAAAGAAGAACTCTTATTTCTATCATATCTAACCATTGACCTGCCTCCACTAACATGTTACAAATATGCAACATTATTATCGGCCACCCATATACCTCTTTCAATTCCAACATTGTATAGACTCTCATGCAGTCAGCAGTGTTACAGCTCTTAAAATACTTATCACTTCTTTGCAAGCCATTTGCATCTGAAATCATCCAAATTCAGTATAAATTGTGAAACAAAATGATAAAGGCCGAACTTTCAACTTTATTGCTGTAATTTGACATAGTTGTTTTGGTTTGAGGCTTGAGGCTTGAGAGGTTTAATATTTCAGTTGGTAATCTGTAAGCAAGCTCCAGTGATCAGGGTGCTTATCAGGTCATGGTGTTTGGATGGCAATAAGCTCCTTCCATATTTACAGCATCATATTAACTAGATAACATATAAATGAAGGCTCAGATGCCTTAAAAAAATTGCATATCATAAGATGAAAATCAAAGATTAATTTGCTTGAACATGAAATAACATTAAGTAAAAGAAGTATAATAATTTTGTTTGTACAAATGAATAGAACAACAGCTTCCACATGACAGGCAAAATGCAGCAAAGTTTTGTGCTGTGCACAGGGAAGTGTAAGATTAGGTCTCACCAACTGTCGCCATGGTAACGATGGCAAAATATAAGGAAGTTGTGTATCGCTTCCACATATCAAGCTCTCTGAAGTGTGAATAACTATAGTCACCCAATTTCAAACTCCCAATCCATGTGTATCCTTCCTTCTCCTCTGGCAGAGTGGTTGCTAGATAGTAGAAGATGCAAGCTGCTGTGTGCGTGCAATAGAGTTCTACAGCAATAAGTTTTACTATCCTCGTAAAGAGATAATTGATCCTGATATCCTTCTCCATCCTGTGGAAGAAAGCTGTAACTTTTCGAACCCGACTCAACCTAATCAGTAGAAGGTACCTCACCTCTTCTATTCCTCCAACAGCCTGGTTAACAAATTGCATTATATAGTTATACACTAACTGAACAAGACAATGTCTAATATGTAGTTATTGGGATATGAAGGTGAAACATTTTCAAAATATGCTGCATCTTATCTTAAACGCCATTTTAAGTCTCAAATGAATACATGAAGTGGTTGCAAAACATTTGATTTCATTGACGTTTTTAGTATATGCAACAGTGAACAGAATAAACTGGCGAGAAAAGATTCATTTCCGTTACATCATCTTCGTAACATTTCCGTTAATGAAAGAACCAAGGCTACGACAATAAACCAGCAACCTGAAGAAAATAAAACTTGCTACATATTAAGAACCAGAGAAGTATCAAACCTTGTAAATAACATCCCAAGGTAGACAACCTAGGAGATCAATGATAAAATGGGATTTGAGATACCTGCAGTGCGTAAAACATAACTGAAAGTTCTACTAGGAAAATAGGGTCAAAATAAAATGGGGAAAATGAAAGCATAGAGTATGGAGAAAGTAGAACTGACCGGACGGCTATTGGCGTACGCTTATAAACCATTTTGTAGGAATGACTATCTCTATAGGCAACAAAAAATTGCAGGATAATGTCGACAAGAAAGGCGATTTGACCAGCAATATCCAAGAAGAAAAGTTTCCTGGGCAGTCCCCGGAAAAATCCAAACTCCATTGGCGTGAAGAAAGATGAGTAAATTGCCCATATCAGTATGAATTTCTCCCATGCTCGATACCATCTGCATTAGACCTTCAACAATCATCATACTAATTCAAATCATACAAGCTCCAAATGCAATAGAAATTCTTCATGTTGAACAATATATTAATCCATTACTGGCTACCCTAATAAAAAAAGTTGTATTATCATACCAATGTCATAACATATTTGCTAAGTTAAGTTGATGCAATTATCTATCTAGGCTATAAATTATTAAATAGGGAGATTTGGGAGTAATTTTGATAAATTATAGTTTAATCTCTTCTATATATTGATTGTCAAGTAAAACTCAATCATTGAAAGTAAAATGGGAATTTAAAAAATCAAAATTAGTGAAAATTGAGATTTTCAATGTTTGGAGACTAAATGACAAATATTCAAAAGTGATTCGGATCTAGAAATAATGATTGAAGATGATAAGGAGTCAATTGAATGAAATTAAAGGACAACGATTAACGAATGAGAATTGCACAAAGAGAGGACTAAGGACACGACCAATCAAAATCAGGGACCAAACTGCACTTTTCCCATAGCTACTATGGTGCAATCGCACCATATGAAGGGGTGCCAAGAATTTCAACCACTTAAGACTTCAGAGCAATTGAGTTAAATGATGCCACCACAAGCCCTAGGCCCATGCGATGGCATGGTCCGGTTTCCTTTTCAAATACAAACATTTAGGAAATTAACTTCGGACGAGATTTTGACCTAATTTCGGCCTTATATGTAAAGAACGTGGACAACTATTAGAAGAGCATCTCATATCACTCTCATATCATATTATAACTCAAAAAATTTAGAATTAAGGCTGGCCAATTCATTACAATTAAAAAGAAAGTACAAACCTAACAAGAAATTCAAGGTAAATAACATCAAGAACTTGAAGAATTAGGGTTCATGATTGAATATCAAGGACAAGAAATTGACTCCACATATTTCTTGTATTCATATACATTCCGAATGATGATTTTTCATTTATTTTGTTGTAATTTCATTTTGATTATTTTTAATTCAAAGACCAAGTATATAGTTAATTTGTGTTCTTGGTTGATTTTGTATGTTTTGTCAAATTATTTAAATGCTTGTGCACCATTAAGATAATTAGTTAATTATTACGTTTCATGAGGTTCACTATATGTTTACAACTTTGCAATTTCGATACGTCAAATAGATGTTATGAATAACAATTAATATATACGATGTGTGCAATCATATATATAATAGTGCGATTTAATGCATTACTTTGCCTATGAATTTGAAATAGGATATAGTCGGATCATGCTTATCTCAAAAGAAATAATTAAATAAAATTAGATTATCGATTCTCAAGATTACACAAATTGCACTAGATTACATAGGTGAAGAATTAGAAATATGATAATAATAGATGAATTCGAAAATCCGACACTTTCACATCATATTTAATTCAAAACAATTTTAGATAATTAGTAAAATAATTCAGACATAAACAACATTCATATCCGAATTTGTTAACGGATTAATACATTCAATTTAAAAATTATTCCTCTTGGTCGATACTTATACTCGTTATATTATTACTTGTAAACGATTTCATACGTTTCCAAAATTTCGTCGAACATTAAACTATATAAATATTAATTTCTGTCATCAATCATATTTTAGTTCAAGTAAGATGGCCATCAACCTAGATATGCAATATTATACATATTCCACGTTGCAGTCCCATGGCCGTCACACTTTGTTATAATTTAGTTCGTTTCTTTGCCGTGAAAGTAACACTTGTCTATAATTTAATTTTGTCAAACCAAACAAGATAGCTAACTGTACATCTCATCCGCTCGTTCCTTATCACAAACCAAATGGATAAATCTGTCCGTAGTGCAACTGACGCATTTCTATACAAGTGGACGGAGGAACCATTTCCTTGTATTTTCATTGCACCACTAATAATTGAGTTCTAGAAATTTCATCATTAATACATTCTTTCCCCAAAAAAAAAAAAACACTCCAAGTTTACAATATGCTTCTTGGTATTTAGTTTGAAGAAAACTATCGATGATATTCATATATAGCCCATGTTTGATTCGGATTAAAATCTGATTTTTAATTTAAGTCTAAATCAAAATCAAACAATAAACAGACGTTTTTTTTCAACAAAACACAAATGATCAAAATGGTAGGCATGATTACTGTTCCAACGGTTCTTTTTCTTCTACTAATGAACAATAAACAGACGCTAAAAATCAAATTTTAATTCACATCAAACACCCTCAAAATGAAATTAGTTTAGCTTAATACGCAGCCGCCATTTTTATAGCAAGCACGTTCAAAGCTGGAAATTTCCAGTTTTAGTTGCCCATTTAAAGAAGAAGAAAAAAAAGATAACGATTTTTAGCCACCGATTAAGAAGGTCAGAGACAAAATCAAATCAGCTATAGCTTCTTTCAAACCGTAAATCCAAACGATACTCCTACCACTCTTAAAAAGCCACGTGGCACCTTGATCGTTGGCGGGAATAACTCCCCCTTCTCTCTCTCTCTCTCTCTCTCCAAAAGAAGAACTGGAACACGAAGGAAGCTATAGATGCAGAAATACATACAAACTTTTATATATGGATATCAAAATGTGGAGACCAATCTGTATGTAGTTACGAACCTGTTATCGGGATGAATGGCTAATCCTCGCGAAAGGTCTTTGAGGCCATTAATGACGGTCTGTCTGCTAAACTTCCGGCGAGTAAGCTCGAGCCCTAACTCGTTCTCAATCAAATTGAATCGGCTTCCCCTCGATGATTTCATTCTGTCTCTCAAATCCTGCACCTCATATTCATCTTCTCCATTCGAGCTATCCTCTCTATCAACACGATTCCCATTCGCTGCCGTATCACCAATCTTGAACGTCGTCGATTTCTTCAATGACATTTTAAACGTTTTAAGTATGTTTTAATCTTTCTTCAGGAAAAAAATTATTTGAACGGATTGAAATTTACACACACACACACATGTATGTATGTAGTCTTGGGGAATTCAGGGATAAAATCTGGAAAAGAATCTTTAGGAAATGAAAGATATTGTTGGCCGAAAATTTTGGAAAAAGCGATCACGAGTACTGATTTACAAGTTGTAATAAGGCTCGCTTGCTCACGTGAATGAAAACTAAGGTTGAGAATGGAAATGTCAGCAATGGCTATATATATACACACAAATGAAAAAGGAAGCTATAGAACTGTGTCGAAATAATATAAAATATGTGTAGGCGGGCATTTTTTCTAATATCTACATATCAATATTGATTTTGATATACCAAGCTTTTTGTATTTTCACATAAGTGGTTTACCGTTTATATTGGGTGAACCGGTAAAATCGAGCATGACTTAAATTTTTTAAACAAGTCGAGATAAGCCGGAGTAATTATATGTGTGTGTGAGAGAGAGAGAGAGTAATTAATATAGACAGATGCTAGCGACATGAAAGAAGTTTTGGTAGGACGACTCTATATGCACACATGGTAGGAACGTCAATTCAAATTATGACATCTTGGATCTCAAGTTATTCAAAATTCAACACCTCAACACATACATCCACTTTATTTATCTTTCTTATCACATTAGATGTAGCAATTTCGCATTTTGAATGGTTCGATATTCGAAATGTCGTGATTTAAATGAATGGTACTATCACTTCTGCATATAGAATCATTTTATTGAAACTTTTCTCAAAGCCCATGTATTGAAACCAAATTTCCAAACAATTTAACAGAATCAAACAACTCAGAATTCTATGATTGTAAACAGGGAAATTCAAAAACTTCCTGAGGAAAATGTTGTAATGAACAAGACGAGACACCAATTTTCTTGTTATTAATGATTTTGATATAAAACATTAATGAAGTATGTTTCACACACTCCATTAGTCAAATAATGGATAGAAATCTTAACTTTTGTCTAATTTATCGTACTAAACATATTCGATAGATAAGTATACTTACAGTTTCTCGGTTGTTATCTCCTCCCCAATTTCTTAAAAATGTTTTTGTCGCAACAATTTGTTCGACCAAATCTTTGTGAAAATGAAGCATTCCGCTTTTCAATATACCACTTTATATGGTAAATTAAAAAGAAAGACGCGGTTCTTTATTTGTAGTTGTCTCTTTTCAAGTATTAATAAACGTGTAGATTATCTTGATGGGTTATCCTTGAAGTTTGACTTCCTTTATTTGATCCTTTAAAAAATTATACACTACTAAACTTGGTCGTCTCTCAATTTAATTCTTGTGTTATTTATTTTAAAAGTTGAATGACCACGTAATGATAAAGGTGGCTATGGATCATATCCTAGATTATGAAGAAACATAAGGCGTGTTCAATTTTTTAATTTCGATTCTATTAGTGTATGATAATAGCTCGATAAGAAATGTGGTATACGCGGAATAAAACTATATACGTAGAAAATAATAATAATAGTAGAAGGTTGTAGTTTGGGTAGAAATTTGAATAAAATAAAATTTTATCTATTTGTACAGAAGCAGTGCTGTCAGAAATTCATCGGATGCTGTTGTGGCCAGATGAGCTGCATCTGGTTGGTCTTTTTTATTATTTATTATTATTGTATTGTCCAATAGAAAACTAGCAAATGTATTCTGAAGAAATTCTGGTAGCATTTTTCTGTACACATAATAGGGCTGATAAAATAACATGTTTTAGTCACATCATAAGAGTAAATGTACATTGTGGATCGGCGAATCTATGAATTGATGACGTAAGTGATATTAGTTTATAATCATATGAACAAAAAGCATGGTTTTTAAGCCGAATCTCACATTTAAATTGCTCAAATCGTCTCTTGATTGATTTGGATGGCTAAAACAAATGGTTTTTGAAGGCTGCTATTAATTTAGTTTGAATGAAGAAAACATGATATCCTTTGGTTATTATATGAATAGTTGATGATAAGCAATGTGACATTACAAGTAAATAAAACTTACCTAATACATATCAAAAACCTTGTCCTTAGTACTAAATTAATAAAATCCCAGCCTCCATACAGCTAAAGGTCGAACTTATAAGCCAGCCTTGATAGATATGATTTCTTTAATTTGCTCAACTTCGTAGGAACTTTGATTAAGGGAAATCTGAATATTATTTTATGCAAAATGATGATCTAACCACATTTTCAAATTGTCAAACGATTTGTAATTGACTTGTGGCTTGTTTCAAGGGATTATGTTTTCTTAAGAACTTAACTAACCCTTGATTAATTATTTAAGATAGCTAAGAGAATTGATAGATTATTTTTCTTGGAATTGTCAAAATGAATATAAACAAGAAGACACATAGAAACATCATATTTATCGGAGTGCAAATAATTACAGAAGAAAAACGTATGTAGTTTTTTGTAAATTAATGGTTTAATTTAAGAAAATGTGAAGCAACTACGGTGTGTTTTGACTCATGAAATGTGGGGGGTTCATATAACCAAGGCGGTGCCAGGAGAATGGAGTTGTGGGGGCAAATTTTATGAATTGAGGAGGCAAAATTGAAAATTATAAGGAATTTTTTTGAAAATTTTGTATAAAATCTATTGCAGAATCTTGGATTTCAAATTTAGCGTGGGAATACGCTGGCCCCCACTGTAGATCCGCCCAAGCATATAACTTTATATCGAATGACAATTAATTAGAGTTAATTTATGGTTGATGTGCAACCTTGATATGAGAAATTTGTGGAGATGACGATTTAGAAGATTAAATTCTAAAAATCATACCCCTAATTGAAAAGTTGTCCCATAATTTATAATTTAATTGCTCTTCGGTGGAGGGAGCAATGCATAATGGAAATGTGGAGAGGCACAGGCCACTAACTGTTATTGTTTTAAAATAACAAGCCATTAATCTCATCAGGCGGCAATTATTTTTAATTTAAACCACTTAATAAAACGATTAAATTAATAATTAATTAAGACCCACTCAGCTTAAAACAACGGTCAGTGCCGTTTCATGGAATTGAATTGAATTTCATGATTTCTTTCTATTTAAAAAATTGAATTAATTCGGTCTCAAATTATTTTCACCAAATATCACGTTAAACTAAATGATCTGAACAAACTCGGTGCATCAAACGCACTCGACTAAGCTCTTCATAGACTAAATTAATCATTGCCACTGTGAGAAGGTAAATGCTTGCATTACAAGTAAGAAAAATATAACTCGTCAAAATAAAAATATTATTTTAACCTTTTTATGTATCAATTAAGCTATTTGTATAATAATTGTTCATAATCATTGTTGACAACTTTGGTGTTATCAAAATCGGGGTCATTGATTTAAAAAAAACAGTTTTTAATAGTTTTTAAAATTGATGAACGTGAAATTGTCGACTAAATTTGTACACGTAGCATGATTTTTTATGCATACCATCTATAAACAACATGGATCAAGTTACTTTGTCAGAAAGATTTGACAGAAAGCTCAACGTAATTACATGTAACAGGAGATAATTAAATAAAAAACTGGCCGTGATGTAAATTCTCTAATTATAAAATGTCACATGACATTATGTAAAGTTTTATGTTCACGTAGCATGATTGAAAAAATATATTATGTGCTAGTACGTGAAGCCAAGTTGCCCTATATTTTGCATTGAAGCAAAACCCAGCTTTTTTAATTGCTAAAAGTCCCATTATCCACCACAATGTAAAACTTTTACTGACCAAACTTGAGATTGATTGGTCTTATGCCAATGCCCACATTTATTTTGTTCTAAACAACTGGCAAAAGAGCAATGAGCCACTGCATTAGACTGCATTAGTGCATTTATTTGAATATATTCCTCAACTGTCAGACTTTATGCAACTAGGTTTCTACCAGTATCATAAACAAATACAAGGCTGAAAATGACAAGGCGGTGACTCAAAAAGTTCAATGTCATCACTAAACTTTGGTGGTCTTCCCACCACTCAATAACCCTTTCTTTAATTCCTCTATCTAAAGCTTGCTTTGGGATATGCATTCATACGCAGCAACACTACAGTATAAGATGCCATTTCTCAGTTCAACTTGAATCAAAAGAATTAGTACATATGTTCCAACCAAAATGAAAATGAGCACTTATAATCTGATAAACAAGTCAATTTCGTGATTATAAATTCACTCCATATCAAATACATTGTCAATGGGTCATTCGAGCACATGAGAATCATACTTTTGACTTTTCACCTTGCTATCAGACATTCGACAAGATTTCAAGTTTGGATGATGTCTTTTCCAATCTACCAAACTTATCATCAATCTTGTACCACTTTCATCAAGTGGATCATACATTTGTTCAAACTGCATTGACAACTTTCTTTTAAGGCTTGCTGAGTGTATGGAGTGAGTGACAAAAGAAAACACAATAATAAGTGGGATGTCCACCATTTCTAGAGTCCAAAATTAAAAGGAAAAGTTAGTTCAATATTAATCCTGTATAAAGTACATACAAGTCAAATTATTAATCATAACTGCATTTTCACGAATGAAAACCGTCTCAAAGTTGATCCAATCCACTGTCTTGAGGTTTGGTTCATGAAATCAATTTACAGCTAAATGCACGCATACATTAAATTCCCCACAGCTTCATATAAAGTAGATTTCCCAAATCCGTGATAAAAAAAAAAAAAAAACTATCTGCGCTACTAGTTCTGTGAAAACAGAAGCTGAGATGGAGAAATAGAAGCTTCGCCTTTTAGCAAGATTAATGCTCATCGGTTATCCAGGACAAATAACTGAGACAGCACTTTTTCAACTTCATTGAGATGGAATTCGACCAAAAGCTTCAATCTGTGACAGAAAGCAACTCAAAATCATTATAGCGAGCAATTATTAAGGAAACACTTTCAGGGACATACAAAACCATATTTCTTTTGGAAGTAACAAACAAAACCTGTGATTAACTAATCAACTTACAACATCTATGCAAGTAAATGGACAGTTATTACACTTGCATGCACAACAGGAGCATAGATAGAGAGAGAGAGATAGGGAGAACCACCTGGAAATACAGCGAAATTGTTCATAGATGTTTTGCTCTCCAATCAACTGTTAAAACATCATCATTGTCGTCATCACTTGATGATTCTTCAGGGCTAGACTCCTTCTGTGAAACTTCAGTACCTTTACTAGAATTAACAGATCTAGCAGCCTTAGTCTCCAACTTCTTCTTCCTTAGCATTTCTACTCTCTCTCTGTAAGTCCTGAAGACATCAAAACCAAAGGTGAAAATATTATTTTGAGATCCGGAGCTGGTTTAGTTAAAATGATATCCCAACAAAGTATCCTTTCCCCACATTTTTAACTTACTTTTGTTCCACAGTCTCAGCTTCTTCAATCGTCTCAGCTGCATCAAACTGCAAAAAGCAGCAGCAATAATGTCAGTGATACAATTCCTTGCTGTACCCTGGATTTATTAAATGGAAGTTGGGAAAAAAAGTCTAGCCTCTTCTTCTTCCAAGCGGTTGTCTATCTCTTGTAAATCCTCTTGGATTAACTTTTCAAACTCCTTATATTCATCCCTATGTGCACATGTCACAAGTCAGCTTTACCAGTTGAAACAAATAAAAGAATGCTAGTTAAGGAGTGTAGAATGTAATCATGAAATTAGGAGAAAGAATATCGTATTTCACTGTAAAATTTCAGATTGCAAACTATAAATGAGAGTAGAACGTGCAGGTAGAATTTTAGACAAAGCTGGACCACCATTCATCTGCATTATAAACATTAACCAGAGACTTTTGGAGGGGGGGGGGGGGGGGGGGGGG